AGGGAGGGCTAAAGGCCTGCATCGATTGCCACCTCTGTTCAAAGATGGTGGAGGCTAGACTTTGGATCCTTTCACATTCCAGATATCCTGGATGTTGCCTGAGACAGGAAGGCCCACACGTGCACCCACACAGGAACACAATGTACACATGGAGCACACTCGTTGAACAGGCATGCACAGCCGTGGCACACATGCACACACCATTTGAGACTGAGCTTTAGCTGGTGCAAGTAGTTAATGTTGATGACCATAGAGGAGCATAATTTTATTAAAACCTCACATGAAAGTAATCTGGATTATCACCCAGGGCATATGACCCAGGCCATGCTCTGGTCAGGAAATTGGCTCTCCTCATTCACATTCTTGCTCGGAAAGGAGCCAGCTGGGAGACTGGAGGAACAGAAATCTCTTCCACAGCACTCCCAGGAGGCCGAGTAGGAATCAAAGCAGCAGGTCCACAAAGAAGGCTTGTCAAGTGTGTGGACTGTGCCTTGCAGGCACTCCCACATCTGGTCCTGGGGCTCTCCTTTCATGGGAGTTGTTTTCCTCCATTCCGGAGCCCCTGGGTTCTGGACACAGACCCAGGACTGCTTTGAACTACAGGGACCCTCACAGGAGCATGAGCCAGAGTCAGCCGTGCCTCACAAACACCCAGAGAGCTCCAGGCTCATTCGGAACTGGCTCTCCCTCGGATCTTCTGTCCTCCCCCTCTTTTCCTTCCTCACACCTTTGGGCACTGCTGCCCATCCCCGACTGTACCCTTTCTTCAGCTTCCGAAACGCCTTGTACTCCTGGTTCTCCTCTGCCCTCTCTAGCTGCTCCCTCTCTCTGACCCATTTAAATAGGGAGCCCCAGGTTGAGTCTCTGCACTCTCCTAGTTATACCTTCTTGGCATCTCACTCTCCAGTCCCTCCTTCCCCCAAGTTCAACCATCTTCTCTATTCAGATGATTCCCAAATCCGTGCCTCTAGACCTGCCAAGACCTCCCCAGCAGCCTTCCCAACCAGCTCCTTGTCTCTGCTCACAGCCACCTTCACTGGCTCATACGCGGATGACTGCAGTAGCCATCTCCTTGGTCTCCCTGCCTCAGGCCTCTCCCCATGCCAGTCTAGCTTCCTCCCAGATGCCAGTGTGATCCTCCCAAAGCCTAGGTCTGCCCATTCCATGCCCCCCCACCACACACACACATACCCACACTCAATAGGATAAAATACAAACTCCTCCATTTAGCATTTAAAACCCCTCCAAATGGAGTACTTCATGCCTTCCCCATAGGCTGTGGTAAAATGGGCCATCTGGCCATTTCTCTCACCTGAAACTCTCTCTCCATGCCTTTGCCCTGGTGCTCCCCTTCGCCTGAGAGGCTCTCCTCCTCCCCCTCCATCCCTAAGAATCCATTCCCCCTTCTCCTGGCTGCTAGTCTCTCCCCTGCTCCAAACTGTCTTGTAGTTTTGTGTGTGTGTGTACATGCAGGTATATTTGCACTTCTTTATGTGACGAGTGAATTTCCAGTCCTTCCTTTCCTGTTGGATTGATTATACAAAGCATGAGAAGACAGTTTCTCCTGGCTTCTAGTCCAGCAAGGGAAGGCTTGGAGAGGCTGGGCCAGGCACGTGTAACAGAGGGGCTAATCCCCTCACTTCAGAGGAGGCATGGCTGGGTGTCCTGTTTCCTGTCTCAAAACTTTATGGTGATGTCGAGTCCTCTGATTGGCTGCCGAGCAAGAACAACTGAGTGTGAATAAAAAAGGCTTGAATTCTGTGGCTCCATCTCTCAGTCTCTCTCTCTCTCCCTCCCTCCCTCTGTCTCCCTCTCTCTTTGTCTGGGGCCTCTGCTCCTTCTGGCTTCCGGGTAGCCATCCCACATCACTCAACATACCATGTCTTCTTCCAGTGGACATGGACACTTACCAAGCTTCTCTCTTGTGCTCCTGGTGGGGTCCTTCCCGCTGCCTCACCTCACACATGGAAGTCATCCTAGGTTCCCAGGGGGTCCATTGTTGTCAAGTAAGCTCCATTGGGTCTTCCTAGTCAGGGACAGAAGGCTCCTCACCAGCAGGTGGGCCCTTAGTAAGAAAGGTGTGGCTTCAGTCCTTCGTGGCCCTGGGATCTGTTTCCATGGAGCCTGTGATAGAGCCACAGGAAAGGGGGCAGAGGCAACTGAGGACCAAGGTTTTCGGAGGGTCTCCAAATATCGATCAAGTTTCCGGCACTCTCAATGTGTGATTTCTGTCTGATGATCCAGGCGACGGTAGAAGGTCAGGCCCCCTCAGCATCTGACTCAGGGCCTGGCATGTAGGTGGTGCTTAATAAATGTTTGGTGTCGAATTGATACCCTTCCGGTGGAGCTGAACCTGGCCTACCTTGGCAGTCTCACTGTGAATGACCAAGCTCTGGCTCCTTGGAGGGACAGCTCCCAGGCTCTCCTGGGTCCCATTTGCTGGCCACACAGGACACAGCAGGAGCCAAGGCAAGAGCCTGGTGAGTACCAGGCTACACACTCCTAGCTTCTTTAACCAATCCTCATGTGACATAAACCCAAGGCCCTTCTCACTCCTAGCTGCCCTCCCCTGGACACTCCTCAACATGGGGCACACAGAACTGAACACAAAACTGCAGGTTAGGTCTGATGAAGGGACTCTGCCCCTCCTAATGCAACCCAAAGCTACATTTTTGGGGGCTGATACATCATTTTTCTGATTCAGGTAGAGCCTGTGGTCCACTGGAAGCCCCAGGTCTTTTTCAGGACAGCTGTTATCTATTCACGTCTTCCCCATTGGATACTTGTGTTCGGTTTTATTTAATTCCATCACATGTTCTAGCTTTTTTATGATGGAGAGTGCAACATGGACACATCCTAACTTCAGGAATCAGAGCAGATGAGAAAGGCACCCCCCCATAAGTGGTGGCCCCCAGCTTGAGTTCTGAAGAAAGCCCAAGTGAGGAAGCCATGCGTACAAGAGGGAGTAGCTGACAGGCAGGCTGGAGGGGACTGTGGGGTGGGTGAAGGGAGATGAGATGAAAGGATGGGAGGCAGAAGACCAGCTGGGAGGAGCTTTGAATGACAGGCTGAGAATTTTCTAGCTTGTCCTAGAGGGCTGCAGGGAGATGTGGGGGCAAGGGAGAGTCCAGGTCAGACCTGGACTTTAGAAAGACTATGTTGGCATCTCTGCAGAGGGAATGACCAGAGACAAGGGGATGATGAAGGAGGATGCAGTGGTCCATGGATAAGGGGACGTGTCTGGATTAGGGTAGTCACCGTGGGGTGACAGTAGGGAATGGAGGTGAGGATTGGAAGTGGGGGGTGAGGGTGAGGGAAGAGCTGAAGAGGACGCTGACAGTGGGACCCTGGGGACTGGAAGGGGGGTGGGGTGGGGGGCAGGACAGAAATGAAGAATTTGGAGGGAGGGGCCTGGGAGAAAGAGGAGCCCCACCTGGGACATTTGGGAATAAGGTGTTGGTTAGGACAGCATGGACCTCAGGATTCTTTGGGACAATGATACCACCCACAAAATAGGGAAGTTTGGTAGCTGGGAATCTGGGGGAGATGGGCCAGGCATTCAGGCCCTGAGACTGAGCTGGGAGATCAGAGTAGATGTGACTTCCGCATTTGATAGCTCCAATGAGGGGATGGTCACCTCCCTTAATCCAGATAACTTCAGTATCCCCCATTCAGGACACAAGAACACTCATGGTAATTATTATAGTAAAAATATTTATTACAAAAAGTGTCAAGTTTCTATGGACAAAGCTTAATTCACACAGTAATAACTTTACAATTGCACCATATTCTCCTTAAGGTCCACAGAATGGTCAGCCAGACAGTCAGAGTCAGCCCCCAGCCTGGGGTCTCCCAGACTGAGGCCTTCTTCCCTTCACTGTGTGCTATGTGGGCTGGTCACAGCAAGCAGGCCTGCCATCCCCCTTTTGTGGTGACATAAAGCTGAAATCTGGGAGCATTGACTTGCATGGGGCTGTCCCTGCCCCCTCAGCTCTGACCAGCCCCAGGCCAACACTGGAGGGGAGGACCCCCCACCTGCTCTCACCCCAGATCACAATTTGTTGAGCACCCACGGGACTAAGGGAGCCTGTGCCAGCCAGAACTCCTCTCACTCCTTTAGGAGGGCCTCATGCAAACTCCAAGGTAAAGGGGGTTTCTGGCAGCCAAAAAGAACACTCACCAAACAGAGGTATCACATCCAACAGGACACGAGCTGGGTCGGCCCACCTGCGTTGCTGCACTCGCTCCATCCCCCATCTGTGCTGCATTCCCAAGGTCCAGCCCTGCTCCCTTGCCCACTGTCTGGCCACACAGCCAGGCCAGCAGGGTCACTAGCTCCTTCCCCTTCTATCCACCTTCCATATCCCAACAAACACAACTCCCTAGCAAGAAATCCACCAACATCCCACTATAGCTTGGAGTCTGATCTTACCACCACACCCTTGGACCGCTAGCATCCTCTTTTCAAACCTGGCAATGGCCCTAAGGTGTAACCTTCACCCTCCAGGTGAGGCTTACCCCCCCCCCCCCAATTCTAAGCACATCTCCAACCTGGCCAAGAGGAGGTGGGTCCTGCTATGGGTCTCCATGTGGCCCTGATTTCCATTCTTCTCCCACAAACCGCGACCTTCCCACATGCCCTGTGCCCACACTTAGGGCACATGCCCACACAGCACATGAGCCACTGGCTGAGCCAGCAGGACAAGGAATAGTTTGGTTTGGAGAAGTAACACCTTCAGCCCTTTTCCGTCCCTGGGCTACAAGCTAGTGGACCGAGGTTTTGCTCTTTTCTTGGTCGTCTACACTAGTGTAGACTTGGCTGCCGCCTGTTTTCTTGGGGTTATCAATACAATGGCTAAAGGACATGTGTACATTTCCATCGATGTGATCCTAACTTGTGGTCTTCTGAATGGCCAGTAAGCAGGGGAACAGCACGCATTTAACAATCCATAACAAAACCCTACTCACTCCCACTGTTCCAACAGCCAGTGCTGTGGTATCAGAGCTGACCTTGGGGCTGAGAAATGGGGGCCTGAATGTGGTGTCAAGGACCACTCAGTGCCTGAGCCCCTCCTCTCCTGGGGTGAGGGAGGGCTGGGGGCCCAAAGCACCCTCTGCCTGTACCAGTTGGCCCTTGGTAGCTTCCCGCCAGGTCCTCCACACAAACAGCTTGCATGCAGTCGGTCCACAGGGCTGCATCTTTGTAAGGCTCGTGCACACACACACATGCCCATCTCCTGTGACCAGGATTCTGATGGAGACAGGACTTGTTTTTTGTTCCCACCAAAGTCTGGAGGCCCCATGTTTTCTGAAGCAATCTGGTTGGAGCCTTGATCACATGGCCACCTTCTCCTTGGAGAGGTTCCTTGGCTCTTTGCTTGGGGTACACCAGTCCCCCGTATTTGGGCCTGCCTGGTAGTGTTTGAAGGCCGACTTGTTGAAAACAGGGAGTTTTTCTATGGACTCAGAAGACAGCGCCTGCACATGAGGAAGACACATGCACGTTAGTGGGGACCCCAGAATTCTTGCAGTGCAAGCTTTGTATTTTTATCCTTGGGACGCAGGAAGGAGCTGCCCAACCCCTGACAGCTGAAATCTTCCCTGTTGTAGTCTCCTGATTAGAACGGGAGCTTCCTGAGGGCAGGGACTGTCTGGCTTTTTTGTGTGTAACCCCAGTGCTATGCCAACTGTGGTAAGCACCTAAGTCTTCATTCATTCATCATATACAGCAGATGATTAATAAAACATCTGTGGGAGCAGTGAGAGTGAAAAGAGCTGACTGCTCCCGTGGCTGCCTCCAGCAGAGACCTGTGCTAGAGATCTAGCATCCAGCTCCAAGAGCTGGACAGCCAAGCCCATACCCCAGGGGTCCTAGGCTGTACCTGGGTCTCTCCCCAGATATGCTGCCCGTGGGAGGCACTGGGAGAGGGAGCTAGACTAGGGGAGGCCATGGATGGGACCCTGGAGTTCTGATGTTCAGATGTAGATATTTACAATTTGTTAACTGGTGAGGGATTCACACACTGGGACAGTGACTTTACCCAAGGGTAGATTAGAAGTAGAGAAAATGTTGCCCTCTCCCCTGCCCTCTTAAGAGCTGACTTGGAAAGTGTGGGCAGTTTCCCACACCCACAAAGCACCCCTATTTCCTTCCAATAAGTCTCTGGCAGGTCAGATGCAGGCCTTGGGTAACCTGAGCTGCTCTTTTTCAGCTAGAGCATCATTAGCATGATCTCTCAGAAGCTGTGGCTTTTCTAGGGATGGTCAGATGTGGGTGACCTCACAGGGAGTGGGTATCAGCACAAACAGCTGAACCTGAGGTCTCAGCCCAGCCTGGCACAGATGAAAAGCCTCCGGGTGCCATGTCCCTGGCTCAGGGTAGGTGACTGCCCCTCCATTTCAAAAGGATGAAGGTGGTTGTTTACGGTTATTTTTCACATGCTGGTTCCCATGAGCTGTACCTTTAAGTAGATGATTGCGTCTGTTCCATACCCTGACAACGAATAGAGATTCAGGTCCCCTTGAAAGTACTTGGCATAAAGACGAGAAATTGGCAAACCATACCCAAAACCAGCCTGGGGTTGGAGAAGAGAAAGAGAGACATGGGTCTTGGTTACCTGAAGAGGGTGGGTGGCCACCATTCCCAGAGCACCAGGAGATAAAGATCAGTGTTCTCCTTCAGCATGGGTCCCCACTAGAGCTTCCCCATTCAGATCTCCCTGCTCCTTCTGGTTGGTTAATTCTTTCTCTCCTTTTTGCAGCCCTTCTTCCTAATCATCTCTAAAATGAGGGGGTTACACTGGAGAGACCACACTCACTTCCTGCTCATCGAAGCCCTCTCCCTCCCCCAGCCACAAGAGATGAAGCCTCTTACCAAAGGAGCATTCCTGGAATTATCCATCACAGGGGTCGGGGCAGTGGTGTAGGTATAACTGAAGAGGCGGTCAATGACTCTCAGTGGAACACCACCCCCTCGGTCTGAAATCTGTACCAAAAAGGCAAACCCTCAATGCCCCAGATCCAGAACCCTACTCCCCCACCTAAACTACCACCAATTGTTTCAAAGCCATTTGGGCAACATAACCTTTGGCAGGCACTTTGTCACTGACTTGGTTTGGCCCCCACCCGCCAACCCCAAAGCAAAGGACTGGGTGCTTGCCTTGATGGTCAGGTCTTCATTTCCTAGGACAACAGTCACTTCAATAGGCGTGAGGGATGGCTGGTGTTCCTGGTGCTCCACTGTAGCCCTCATGGCATTCTGGGGAGACAACCAAGGAGACCTTAAAACTCCCAAGATTTCCTGGCTCAAAGCTCCCACATCAACATTCAGGATAGACAGTGCACTTCGATGCTTTGTTCCATTTAAAACAAAGGGAACATAATGGCAGGGAAGGGCAAAAGAGGGACCCCTTACTGAGACATTAACAGTTAAAACAGCTGGACAGGAGTTCTGTGGGGTGAGCAGGGGGGTGGACAACACATTGGCTCTGCCTGCATGTATTTCACTAGGTTAACATGGAAGGGAAAATAATGCTGTGGCTGCTAATGAATCTTTTTTTAGGCTTAAGCTCATAAACAAGGACTAGAGGTGTTTGAACAGTGCATTCCCCCCCCCCCTTTCTTTTACTCTCCTCTTGCTGTGTATGGAGGGGGTGACAGCCAAAGACTACAAGGTAAAAAAGCAAATCCCCACATTTACTCAAGAGTTAGCCTTGCACAACTTGATCTGGTTAAATATTTGCTTAAAAAAAATCACAAACATGATTTGCTGAGGAAGAAAAAGCCCAGAGGTTTTGTTGGCTCCTGGAAGGGCCCCCGAAGCAGCCCAGGCCATCTCCTCATCCCTTCAGCAGCCCTAGGACAGCTTAAGCTCAACGACTTACTGTGCCCGAGTCAGTTAAGGTGAAGGGAACAAGATTTCAAGCCTATTTATATTTTTGGCCTAATAAAAACTAAAACTGGTGGCTGAATTTTTTACTTTTCCAGTCTGAATCCCTCCTGTGGGCATGGTCTCTGCCGCAGGCAGCTCCAGGCTCAAGGCACTGGGCCAGGACTCACTGTCATGGAAGCCCTGATGAGTGCACATGTCCACTGGGGAAGAGAAGGAGCTCTTGCACCATTCTTTCCACAGGAGGCATGACAATGCCCAGAGGTGTCCAGAGGTGGCAGAGGAGAGGATAAGCGCATGGGTGGAAGCTAAGGACAAACCACCGAGCTGACTCAGTTTAGGCAGAGTCCTCTTTGTCCCTAGGCTTCCCCTCCACCAGTCCAGGGGAGGGAGTGGTTGGGAAGTTTTCTATTTTCTCTGAGTCTACCTGACTACACTGGCTCATACCCTGCCACACGGTGAATGCAGATTCTCCTAGACCACAGGGAAGCCCCTAAAGCCCACCCAGAGATCAGGATGTGGAGCAGGGATGAGGGATCTCATTTGGGACATTCCTCATTGAAGCAGAGAATGAATGGATGGATGGATGGATGGATAGTTGCATGGCTGTCTGTCTGTTTGTCTGTCTGTCTGTCTGGACTGTTGCTGGGCTAGTTTGCCTGTGCCCTGAGGCCCTGAAGGAGTACCCACCACCCTGGGAATGGCATGAGGACATCCGTGAGGATTAAGGGGCAGAACATTTGAAAGAAGGCACTCAAGAGTACCCAGGACATCTGGGAGTGGGAGGCCAATCTTTCTTGGTGAGGGGGGTGGTGCTTTACCTTAAAGAGCTCAAATAGCATGTGGTGAAGGTGTGAGGGGACATAGACGATGTGAATGGCCTGGTTAGGTACTTTTCCTGTGAAGAAAGAAAGCAAACCATCTGAGAACTGGAAAAGAAGGGCTTCAGTTGGACAAAATCAAGCCCATTCCCCACTAAGTGGAGTACCCACACCAGCGAGGGCGAGGACATTTTGTGTCACTTGTCCAATGCCCTGGCCAGAGCAGGATGAAGAACCTGCTCCTCATCTGAGGGGCTGGGGCCGGGCAGAGCCTCCAGGCACTGGACCTCCTGTGGCGGGCTGAACACTGTGGGCAGGGGAAATGCCACAGACACGCTGGGAGGACCTAGAGTTTTGTCCACATTGAGAATTTTGAATGTAGGAAATCCTTCTGGCAAAGCAGAGCAGATCTGAACCTTCTGAGGTTCAGTCAGTGAGAAGGGACTTGCCCAGGGTCACGTCGCCACGGCTAGCCACCATTGACAGAACACGAACCCCGATTGTCTTGACTCCAAGGCCAACCCTATCTGCTACCCTACACTGACTCTATGCAGATCAAGATAGAAGAGAAAATAAATCACATGCTAACCCTAAGCTGTTTGGTCCCATGTTTTCATTTTTTACTTGCAATATCAAAACTTAAGGCTTGGTTAGTTTTCTATAAGCCACATACTAAATTCCATGTACAAATTAGGTATAAATTTCACCAACAGGCTAATGTACAAAGAAGAAAAAAACAACCCCTTTTATACTCTGGAAAGACATGAGTCTTTCTTTCAAGCCCTGGACTTTGACCTCATTTGCATCTGACCCCAGAGCTCTGAACAGTGTTCCAGAATTCAGGTTTGTGCCTGAATGTCCCAGAATCCCGTGTCACTTTGAATGCACTCAGGGTCATGAGCCTGCCTGGACTCATCTGCTTCTGCTTGCCCACTCACAGCCTAAACTCTCGTGCTCTGACCTTGGTCTTCAGAGAAGTGGGTACATGTCTAACATGTTAGCTACATACCTAGCTAACCTACCCCAGAGCTGAGCCCTCCCCCAACTAACTGGGAAAGGATATTTGTGCTTAGACTGAAACTGGGCTCTCCCAGCTGAGACTATGGCCAGGGGAGATCAAAGGGAGAAGGGAAAGGAAGGGTCCCCTTTGGGCTACCCCTGACTGGTTGTGCTCAAGTCACTGCTCTCACTGGGGTGAGTGTCCTTTCTAGATCTTACCGTTCACTTGTGTTAGCTTCAGTTCAGGAGAAACGAGGTAATACTGGTCACAGAGCATTCGGGCACTCTCATAGGCATCTGCAACAGAGTGGCCATCACTTCATTTTCAGTATCAGAGTGGGGGAGGGGTGTTCTCCCACAAGACTTCATTATTAGGGGCCACCTGGGAGCTTCAGACACTCCAAGATCTTCCCTGCCCTCCTGTGTAAAGCTCTGTGCTGCCTGGTGTTCATCATGGCCCAGAAGGCAAACATCTCTCACACTTCTGACTTCAGTGCCCTAGGCTGGATTGGCATGGGGCAGAAAGAATCATCTCCCTCCCCCAGACCAGAGGCTGGCACTTGTACCTTGGACCACAGCAACCACATCACAATGGGGATCGATGCTTCCAATATGGCTTGGGTTTCCTGTCTTTGAGCCACTAAATATGAGAACTGTTGAAAGGAAAGCATTTGACACAGTCATTAGAAAAGGAAAAAGTTGGTACCTCCCTCCAAGTCCCTTATTCTGAATTGGCATAGTAGGAAAGCCAAGAAACTCACTATGCTGGTTCATGAGCATTCGAGTGGAGATGCGGTTCATATAAAACCTGTCCAAAAAGTACTGGAGATTCTGGTTGGTGACAGGGTCCACAGCACCCAAATCCTTGTACTCAATAATGCCCTGGGCCATGGTGGGGACCACATCGTGATGCCTGTTCCGGACCTTGATCAGCGCATCTACAAAGCTGAAGCCAAAGCAAGGTTAGGAAGAGTCCAAGGGAGTCTCCTTAGCCCAATCACAGAGGAGGTGTGGGCACACCTGTGGCTTTAGGCCCAGCCTCGCAGCGCTCATGGAGCCATATCTGCCCCTTATCGTGAAACAGCTTCCCTTGTCCTTCAGAACCTCCCTGAATCCCAAGGCTGAGGCAGGACAGAGCATCTTGGTCCTGAGAATGGACCAGAGTGACCTGACATACCCCAAGGACTGCCATAGCAGTTGTAGCTGTCCATACTGCCAGGAGATGTGGGTCACTCACAGCAGGAGAATCCCAGTTCTCAGAACACCATCTTTCTGCTGGTTTTATCTATCCCTCTGAGCTCTCCCACTGGCATGTGGGCCACCTGGCCTAAGCATCCACAGATCAGTGTTCAAGGGACAATGTTACCCACCAGGAAGCTTTCCTGTCTCCATCTGGGGCCTTCCCAAAGGAAGCCAGGCCATCCACACCTGCTTATCTCTCCTGGCCAATTGCTAGGCACCAGACTTTTTGGATTCACTCTCTAGCACTTGAAAACTCATCCCTCTCCTCTGCAAAGGTGGGCAGGGGGTGTGGATGACAGAACTGGGGCCCCAGAAAAGAGCCCAGAAAAATACGAGCTGTGTTCCCCAATGCCCAGGACAAAATCTGGCATGAACCAGTACCAGTGTGGACTGACTGACTGAATCTCTCCAAGTGGAAAAGATCACTTACTCAGACAAAGCCTTCTGGTCCTCTGGGCTCTTCTCATGGAATTCCACTAAATCCATGAGGCTCTGGATGTACCTGAGAGGGAATAGCTTGGAGTCAAAAGTGAAATGCATCTGACTTTTTAAAAACAAGCCTGCTGGCAGAAAGGAATTCTGAAAGCAACTGTACAATCTTGCGAGCATCACGGGGGTCCTGACTCCCACTGAGGCTTCTGGAGGAAAACTTTCTGGGCAGGGCTGCCCCCAAACACTCTCAGAGCAGCCCCCAAAGCCAGTCAGCCCAAGTCCCTCAGTGTGAAGATGTTGGAGGGAGGAAGGGGGTTTGCCTCTTTGTTTCCCTAGCTGGGCACCTTCTCTGGCAGGAGACTGCCCTGTGCTCAGGATTGCTTTGACCAGCCCCCTCCACGTGGCCCACCCCTGCCAATTTCTACCTAAAGTTTTCTCACTCCATCCAGGCATCACTGGGGAGGCATCAGTGGCCTGGCTCCTGCTCGCCTAAAAGGCCTCCTTCTGAGCCTGGGTGTGTTACTGGCATTTGGGCCCCTTTCCCCTTCACCTCTCTGGGGCAGTGCAGGCTCTGGAAACATTCTCAGATATCTCCAGATATCACCCCAGGGATTCTCCAAGAGAGTAAAGGTGAGGTGGGGGGCTGCACATTAGCTGGGAAACCTTAGGCAGGCAAAAACCTGAGAAGCAGAGTCTGCCTCTTCTGGGACACTTGTCCCTTAAGGGAGTCCAGGAACTGGCATGTCTTCCCATCTACACACTTCACTTTGGGATGACATTGCTCCCCTCAGCCTCATAACTGGTGACAGTGTGTTGTGTGCATTGTAGGGCCTAGGGCCAGGCACCAGGCAGCATTATTGGGGAAAGCCCTGATGCACCTTCCTGGAGCGGGAGGAGCCCCTTGGCCCAGCTCATGGGCTCCTGAATGACTGACAGCACCCCCCCCCCGTGGGCGGGCTTTCCGCCACTCACCAGCTCTTCACCAGCTGCACGGAGGAGGTCTTGACGAGCCGATCCGGGAGAATTTCGATTTCTTTCAAGATATTGGCGAGCCTCACGGGAAGTTCTTGTCTCAGGAAGGCAAAAGAGGTCCTCTCACAAGCGTTCTCGGAGCCTGGCAGGGAGCGATCTTGTTTATTACTTGGGGGATGGGGTGGAGGGAGTGGGGAATGGCTTGCCTGTGCCCTCGCTCCTGGGGCCTGAACAAACACTGCTGGGTAAACAGGGAACCCAGACCACCGCCCTCTGGGCACACACGAGCTTTGGTGGGCAGGACACTGCCGAGGAATTGCCGGCGTACCAGCACTCAGGGAGGTAATGTCCTCACCCCTTCCTTCCACTGGCTGCTCCCCTCAACTTTCAGCTCCTTCCACACAACTGAGGTTCCTTCTGTTCCCGGCCCAAGGTTCCCCAGCAGAGACCCCGAGCCTTTGACTTGGAGCCCCAGGGGCCCGTCTCAGGGGAGGAGGCTCACTCTCTGTCCCTTCCCTCTCCTCCTTCCCCCCCACCACCCCAGTCACTCTGTTGGTGAGTGCCACCACGGGGCACACGACACGGTGGGAATGGAGGGGACATGGGGCTCTCTAGCTCCAGTTCCCCCACTGTCCCGCACCCCGAGCCCAGCCCCGGCTCACCGAAGTCAAGCAGTTGCTTCATGGACAGCGGGGACGGGCTGTAGCGGGAGAAGCGCTCCACTGCCCGCGGAACTGGGGGCACGGACGCAGCGGCGGCCGACGAGCCGGAGGCTCCGCGGAGCACGATGCGCGCAGCTCGCATTCCGGAGGCTTGGCTCGGGGCGGCGGGCCTGTACGGCGGTGGGCTCTGGGGAGCTCGCGGGCTCACGGGTTTGTTCGGGACTTGTGGGGTCGTGGGCAGGCGGCTCGGACTCCGCTGGCTTCAGGCTCGCGTGGATCTCTCAGTGAACGGATCTGGTGCCTGCCTCCAGCTCTGGCTGCTGCTTAATCTTCAAGTTCCACTTCAGCGTCCAGAGCCAGGTCGGGCCACTCTGCCTCTGTTGGACCCTGCGTGTCCCGAGCTTTTGTCAGTCCCCACCGAGCCTCGGGACCGCCCACGGGGCTCTGTGACGCCACAGGGAAAGACAGACCTGGAATGCAGACTCACCAATCAGCTCCAGAGGCTTCTTCCGCGCCCCCCCCAACACCTTCCCAGGCGCTGGTCGCTGACTGCAACGGGAGCCCCCCGCCTCCCGGAGACCTGGGGGCCGAGAGTACCGCACACGCTCATTGGTCTGCGCTGGGGCAGCCTTTGTCAGCAGCCAATCGGAGGAGACCACTGGTTGGGGTAAACAGCCTCACCCATGTAGCTTGGTTGGAGTCCCGCAATGGCACAGTGCTGAGCAGGGGTGACAGTGGTGGGCGTGGGTGCAGCGTGGGCCCCCTGAGGCCCACGCCTCGGACTCAGGGCCTTCTGCATACTCAATCAGATCCCGACTCTGGCCCACGGTTAGCCCTCACCCTCACGGCCTCATTGGCCCATAAGGGCCAATGGTGTTTAATTCGTTCACAAACCTTCCGTGGCTCCCAGTTGCCTCTGCTTCCTTGACCTCCGCGCTCCGCAGCCGGGACCCGAGGCCTTGCTGGGCTAGCCTATCCCTCCATCCTTCCCCTTTTTCTCCCTTTCCAGCCTTTATGGTCGCCCTCTGCCGGGTGACTTCCAGCCTGAGCCTCGACCCAACTATATGAAGCTTCCCTGACGTGCAACACCTCCCGTCTTTCCCTGTCCCCACTTCTGCGCCTTTGTCCTTGCTAGACCCAGGTGGCCAGGACTCCCTAAGGACTGTATTTCTCCTGCCTGAATGATCCCAACGAGTGATTAACAAAGACAGTGTCACCACCACCAGGTGACAGTGGGGAGTAAAGGAGCAGGAGTCCGGAAGACCTGGGTTCAAACTCTGCCTCACACTAAGTGGCTGAATGAACTCGTCCCGGTTTCTTCATCCAGAAAATAGGGACAATTGAACGTTTGTAGCCCTTCTTGGCCCACTTATTGTGAGACTCAAATCGCCTAGGAAAAGCGCTTTGCAATCTCTGTGGTGGATGCGGGCAGGCCAATAGTAGGTGCAGAATGAGGAATTCCCAGCACAGGGAATTATGTATTATTGCCATCGACAAATGAGGAGACTGAGGCCTAGTGAGGGGAAGTGACCCTTGCCCAGGGTCATGGAGAAGGCAGCAGGGGCTGGACCCAGATTCAGGCTGCCCCCTACCTAGTAGATCTTTCACTTGAAGCTGTGAGCATCACCAGCGCTCAGTAAACAGTTGTTTGACTGACTGAATCCTTCAGTCTTGCCGGGAAGATTCCCAATTCCCACTCACACGCCCACTCACTGGCCCATTTGTTTGTCCTTTCTTTTCTGCTCCCCAGGAATGTGGGAGTGAAACCCAAGTGGATGGCAGGCAGCAGCTGGGGGCCCTGGGCTGTGAGGTGGGCGGGGAGGGGGGACTGCTACTGGGCTCCCATGGAGTTCTTCTCCCAGGGTTTTGTTTTGTTTTTTGAGGAGGGAGTGGGTCAGAGCAAGAGGAGAGAAATGGTGGAAGGCATCATGAGCCATCATCAGAAAGGGGGCCACTTTGACAGTAGGCTCATCTTTCTCCTGCTGCTCCTGAATTAAAAAGCTGAGTAAGGTATCCAGAAAGAGACAGCAGAACCTCTGGCTGTGCTAAGCAGCTCATGAGCCACTGTGGAGGGTTCCTAATAACTCCCACCACCTCGACCATTGTTTTAGGGCATTTGGGGAGAGAAGAAAGCAGGTGCAGCGACCCAGAGCCCCGAGGTTCTGTTGAGGAGGCAGGGTCCCACTCTCCTTTGATCCCAGAGCTTCCTTTACAACCTTCTCCAAGTGGCTCTGACCCCCCTCACCACTCCCTCCCAAAAGCAAAGTCAGTGGAAAGTGGGGCATCCAGCTTTGGACTACTCATATGGGACACTTCCAAGGGATGTGCTGGGAGCAGCTTCTGCTGATGGCCATTTGGTAGTCACACACCTGCTCTCAGCAGCTCGGCTCGCCACTCATCTGGGTGCTTGCTGGGAAAGCACCAGAATAGGAATGAGGCACAGGCCTGGAGTCTGCCCAACTAGGGCAGAGGTGAGGAAATGCTGTGGCAGAGGGATGTTTACCAACTCTGGGGACTTACCTGCAGTCAGGAAAGGGCAGGGCCCAACGCTGGGAACAAGGAGGGCAGTGGTGCCTTTCCTAGAAGAAAGTCTGTGTCTGCCCCTTGAGTCCCTGAGGATTCTCCCCTTTAGGAGGGTCTTGGCCCCCTGGCCCAGGAGCTTGGAGCTGGTGTTACCTGGGAGCTAGATTTCTGGGGCTTAGGGATTGTCTGCAGCCTATCATCATGGGAATCATGGCATGGACTTAGAGTCCTAAAGATCTGAGTTCAGATCCCGTGTCAGACTGACCCTTATTATCTATGTGACTACGCAGTGAACTTCTCTGTGCCTCAGACAATTTTCTAACGTTCTATGTTATGGCCAGGCTGAGAACTATGTGCGTGGACCTGCTAACAAAACCAAAGGGAATTCCCACACCCAGAAATTGCCAGTCTGCCCATCCTGGACACAGCAAGTGTGGCTCTGAGAAAGGTGCAGAAACACTGGGGACCTGGTGCTGCCACTCACTCCCTCTGGGGCGCTGTCCCTTCTTTGGGCTGAAGGTTTGCAGTTGTAAAACAGTGGGGATTGAACTAGCTTCCAGCTTTACATCTATTGTCCTGTGGTCCCCCTCCCCACCATTCCTTCTGGACAAGCAATAACTCATGGCGGGGCAGGGCAACCATGTTCCATTTGGGGATGGCTCTTATCCCACTACTACTGGTTCTGCCCCCAAGGCCAGGCAGAAAAAAAAATCTCCTTTGGGGTTCTCATCCATGCCCATGCCGCAGCTTTAAGTTGCATCTACACAATGGCTCCCAAATCCATGTACCCAACCCTCCTTCCTCATGAGTGTCTCATACCCAACATGTCCTGCTAACTTCCCCATGTCCAGTGAGAGTGCTCCTACCCTTCCAGTCACCGAAGCCTATCCCTCAGTTAGCCTCAGCTCTTCTGTCTCCCACATGCTCAATGCAGTCACTGAGTGCTGTTGATTCTACCTCCCCAGAAAGTCTCCAGCGTGAGCTTCCTTCTCTGCGATCATCCGACCCCTCCCACAGTGTCTGCTACATCCTCTCACACCTGGGCTGTCCCCCCTGATCTCTTACCCTCCAATCCATCCTTCATACCAGTGTCCAGTGGACATCCCTGAGACACAAACTGGCACCTCCCTGCTCACTGAGCTGTTGGGAGCTCCCTCTGCAAACTCCTCAGGCTATTTGATGCTATCTGCAATGGGCCATTCCCTTCCTACCTGAATTTGCACTCACTGCCGGTCACCCTCTCCCTCTCTGCACTAGCTTGTCAAGCTGCGAATGCTCCTCTCCCTGTGGTCTACCTGCTGGGCTCTTCCTCCCCCTCCTACTCTCCACCATCTGCCTGTGGGGCTTCCCCTCCCTCCTGCACTCCCATCCTCAGCATTTGCTGCCTCTTCCGAAGTGCCAGGACTCTGGGGCCACCTCCCCGGGAGGTCTTCCCTGGGCTCCGTAAACATAGTGCTATCCTGGTGTATCTGTTGCAGTTCCTTTTGTACCTGCCGTGTTTGCTGAGCAGAACCTGAGTTTGGGCAGGAACTGTCTCTGTTTTCATGCCTTTTTCCCAGGCTCTCGACAGCTGCCTGGCTCCATCTTCCAAAGCAGTTCCTGAACTGGTCTCTTCCCTCCTCCTCTAGAAAGTCCTTCAAGTTCTTGAATGCAGCCTTCATCTCTCCTTAAGTCCTGTCTTCTCCAGGCTAAATACCCTCCAGTTTCTTTAACTCCTCCTTGCGTGACATGGAATCTGGGCTCCTCCTGGTGCTGGTCACCCACTCTTGGATGATTTCTACTTTACCACTGTCCTGTTTGAGGATGGTGGTACCCGGAACCGAACCCTTCAGACACTCCTTAGCTCTGCATGCAAGGCCCTGCACAATCTAGACCCAAATGACCTTATCAGCCCTGTCTTTGTGCTTCCCCTAAACAGATCCTATGCTCCAGGACTGCGGGTCTATCAGCTGTTCTCCAACCACTGGCTGGCCATTGGGGTGACACTGTTTTGGTCATGGTAACTCACAAAGTAAAGAAATGTAGAGATTTCTCCAAATTTGCTCATCTCGTGTTTCTTTTGAGCTACTTTAATTCTGCTTTGCACATCACCATCTTTGATGTGGGCATGCTGTGCTGGGTGGTCTTGTTCCAGTGTCTCCCATGTCATGCAATCAATTCCTAAGTTCTTCAGAGAGACCTTGAAGGTGTCCTCCATGTGAGGTGGCCAGCCCATCGGACCTTTCATCTCTGCAGTTGAATTTGAATGGTTGGCAGTTCAGCTCAAGAAAGGACCTGAATGTCCAGTACCTTATCTTGTCAAGTGATCTTCAGAATCTTCCTAAAACTATTTAAAACAAAAGCCCTGGTATGCTATCCAGGTTTCACAGGCACACAACAATGAGTTTTCAAAGCCCTTTCCATCCACTATCTCCCTGGAGATGACAATCAAAGGTGTGTGCATTTTACATATCTATTTTACAGATGAGCACACTGAAACTCAAAGAGGGAGAGAGATTTGCTTGGAGATCCAAAGTTTCTCTCATCATCAGGACAGAAAGCCAGGTCTCTTCTGCTTCTGATTCAAAACCTCTTTCCCTGTCACCTTCAATTTAACTAACTAGTCAATTAATTTAATTGCTAGTGCTAATTAATGTTACAATTGGCACTGTGAGTGGCATTCCTTGGATGAGCATCCAGCAGCTGCATGGCTGATTCCCCTCGCTCCCCCCCCAGCCCACCCCAGGGTTGGACACCCAGGGTCTTCATGCTAATAAATGTTACAGCTCAGAGGCCCTGTGGAGAAGGGGCTTCTTCACATGCCCAAGGCTACAAGAATGAAGATTTCACAATCACCACTCTGAGGAGTGAAGCCAAGGAGACCCAATGGACATAGCACCAACATCTGGGCAGAGAATGAAGCAGAGGAAACTCATTTCACTATGACCTGAAGGCTGTTCCAGGGGAGGGGAAGAAAAAGATATTGAAAAGTACAGCTTGGGAGCAAGAATTGAAAGAAGCCACAGGTGTATGGATTATTTAGTCAGTTAAATGCCCAACTAGCATTGATTAAGCAAACATTTACTTTGCTGAAAAATGGGCTGAAGTAGGAGGAAGGGGAAGGA